TCAGCTCTGGACCAACGGTGGGAGATTAAGTCAGTTTTATCGGATGAAAAAATGTATGCCTGAGGACGGTGATGTATGCACAAAAACACCACACTGAACCCAAACTACTGTGTGGGTGGTCTTAGAACCTCCCCTGAAGAGGAATCTAGTCAAAAACGAATGAAAATTTTGCAGGGCATCTTAAAAGTACACGAAACGTCTCTGTAGCCAAATGGACCGTAGCCTTTGCCTAGGCCGCTGGACCTTGTGCAAAAATTATCGTTGATTACTGAAGGCGAGCGGATGGCAAAGGAACTGTTTGAGCTTTGGTAATTGGCCAAGGTCAAAACCGCTATAAACAGAAGAACTGACTATTCGTCAAAGCGTGATGCAGCCGAATCGCTAAGGACCCAGATTCCCAAGCACTAATGTGTTGTCGGGCGATGCAGGTTCAGAGGATGCATCGGAAGCCTTGCTGGTAACGAATTAAATGGAAAGACGCCCTTATCATTGGCGTCAAAAGCTGTGCCTGTTTTTGTGGAATCCTCTAGACAGTTACGTGGTTGGTCAGACTTTCATGAAACAAAGCGTCATAAGTCTGCCTGCCGTGGACATTCAGATAGGATGATGATTCTTAAGGAGGATAGCCTGCCAATCAGCTACAGAAACACATAAAAGGCGGTGGCAGTGGAGATGATGATGATTATTATTATTGTTACAGAACAGACGACTGAACTTTAAATAACGTACCTGCAGTGATGGGTACGTGGGGGTTTGATGCAGTAACATTTCGGACACCGGACAATGGGTTGATTGGAACCTGTGGCCAGGTAAATCCGCATGACAGCGTCCTTAGTGGCATTGCCCAATCGAATAGTACCCTAAATGGCATATGAAAGAGGTGAAAGAAATGTGAGATGGTGAGACAGAGTGCAGAAAGTAACGAAATGCACATCAAAAACCAAAGGTAAACCGTCGACGATGAATAATCGGAGGAGAGCTCAGAATATGGCCGATCTTAGGAGTTGTATAAGTGTCTCCTGAGCATAGGTGAGGATAATACTAAGCTCTAACGGTGACCGTAGCGCCAAACCATTTGTGGTGAGGTCCATGGAGGTGAACAACTTCGACGCCTAGTAAAGCAACATGAAGGCAGTAGGACTAAGGTCTCACTTAGACTAATTGAACACAGTCGGTGCAAGCGACACCGGCATCGCGGATAGTAACAGCCAGGTTATTCATGAGCCGATTCCATCGCGGATGGACAAGCTGGTGAAACAAAGGACGATATATAACAACGTTTTCAAGCCTCGACCAGTTTTGAGACAGTATTCTGCTCAGTCTGACCCCACATTTGGCTTTTGGAGAGGGGTGAGCGATTTTTGTCCTATTCGTTTTGCAAAAACAAAGTTGGGCACTTTTAAGGGAGCCAGGTGTCTCATGATTTTAACCGTCATCTAGAAGTACAAAGGGGGCAGGAAATGTGTGCACTGAGAAGCAGAAAGTCAGCAGCAAAATGCCATAATGATGTGCAAGAGACGGTGAGTGCACGTGAACTGGAAGACTCCAGTCCCTAAATAGCCGCGTACGTAGTCGACCGATCAGCCAATGAGACTTCAGAGCCTTTGATGAATACGCACCAACACGCCTACCAAGCACACAAGCATGTTGACTTTGGAGTAGGTGTGATAGACGCTGTATTATGGTCCATTATGATTGAGCTCAGAGAAGAGGCGAAGGTCAGAATTATTACTGCGAACACTCCGGTCAGCCACACCGAAATTTCTAGACCGGGAAGACCCGATATTGAAGTCTGTGATTATAAAAGATCTACTAGCCGATCGATGGATGCACACTCTATTGATCCAGGTCTCAGGTCTACGGATAACGGATTAGGAGCATGGCTTTGTGATGACAAAAAATGAATTAAAATGGCTACTAAGGGTTCGCTTATTTTTGTCAGCAGTGGGCCCGAAATCAGCTGCTTGGGAAAATGTATATAAGAAAGACTTATGTTACTTCCTCTGTGGTAGGACCTATGGATGGCGTGGTGTTCGACGGAAGCTAATGTAATGCCTTAAATAAGTGTCAGTAAAAATATATATATTTCAAGTTACTGGAACTTACGGGGTCCGAAAACACAGCCTTTAGATGTGAAGAGACGGCAAGAAAAGCAAATATGTGATAGATAATTCCCATGATCCAGCAGAAGGCGGCCGACTGGATTTGTGGCAGAAGGATTGCAGAAACTACAAATTCAGCATACGATATCAGGAGCCACGTCATGACCATGCAGACACCACCCGCACAATCACGCACGAACCAAACAACACCACGGGGCAGGGGATAGCCATTCTCCAGGTTTTCCACCATTTTCAATGAGCTGGGTGGGTAGCGAAGTTTCAGAGGTCGCCGACAGGGTTGTAGACAGTCACACAGATCACCAGGGGTACGACGCATGGCCTGCAGGTGCTCCGCTGCCTCTTCATCCCACGTATTCACATCAAGCTCCTTCTGACCACGGAAACGAGAGCCAGCCTGTACTACCGGAGGATATAGGCTTCGAGACTGGACTTGGTTGGATCCCCCGGCCCACTGAGTGGATTCAGGTTGGTCATTTAATGGTACATTCTGAATTGCGCTGTTTTCCTCGGCAAGAACTGAATCAGATCCACCCAGACGGCCTTCTTCCAGTTCTAGGAAGGGAGATTTATCCATGGATCTCCAACTACGGCGCGGGATGTCCTCCGGATGAACTGCACCGAAAAGAAAAGTAGTTATTCAGTTATTTACTTATAGAAGGTCTTTTTATTAAAATCTGTAAACTTTTATATTATATCCGCCGTTTGTATTCATCTCACACACCGCAAGCCCTAATCTGGCGATTTATAGATGCCTGTATTCTCCCTTTTATTCTCAACTGCTCTCCGGTTATTTTTCCAGCTTTACTTAAAAGAGACCTGATCACTCTTAAACGTATCCTCCGAATGCTCTCTTCAGCTGACATTATAGTACAGCGCCACTTGAAAACGGTCAAGCAATTTGCTGATCGTATTCTTAGTGAGGTTGCTCACCCTCGCCACTCTGAACTGATGGCTGCGAAGTCTTACCA